ATTCCCCCCCCCCCCCACCCCCCCCCCCCCCCCCCCCTTTTTTTTTTTTTTTTTTTTAAAATTAAAATAAAAAAAAAAAAAAAATAAAAAAAACACAAAAAAAAAAAAAAAAAAACAGTTTGTAAAAGAAAAAAAAAGACCCCCTTTTATAAAGAGAGACATTTGGAGAATTTTAGCGAGGGCCATTCTGGTCGCACGTTCAAATACTAAAAAATCAATAGTAAAAATTAACATGGCTCATGCTTCCCAGATAAACGTAATTTGTGTCAAGACGTTGTGGCTCTGACATGAGGAATTTTTAAAATTCCCGCGTCATAGAATAATACATAAAATGAAACAAAACATCACAGAATTTATTTTTTTTAAAAAATGAATTTAGGAAAGCAACCGCAGGATCACATCACGTCAGACACGAGTCAGCCCTCCAATGATAAACTCGTCGTCCTGAGGGGTCCAGGGCACGGGTTTGTGACGCCGCGTGACGTCACACTCATCCACGCTGGAGAACTTCGGGATGGGCGTGACGTCAGGGCCCTCGTGCTTCACCCTCGGGTCCGCCCGGCAGACGTCTGACACGGCTAACGGAAGGGGCGCGTTCGTTTTGAGGACGTGCGTGTTGGCGATCAGTGATCCGCTCGAGAAATCTTTCTGCGACACGGGGGACGTGGAGGTCTCCACTTCCGAGTGTTCCGTCTCGACGGACGTGGTCCTGCGTTGATCCTTCAAGTGAATCGCGTCTGCATTAGCGTACAGCAGTGGGTTCTGGGTTTGGCGCCCCTTTCGGTTCGTTTTCACGTTTTTCGTGGGTTTGGGCCGAGGCCTCAATCGAAATTTGCTGAGGATAGACGAGGGTGGAGGGGTCTGCATGGGGAAGGGAGATGATGTCAAGGCCGTAACCCCGGTGGTGGAAACGGTAGTCGCAGAGATCTGGCTCGGATGCTGCTCCCGCCTGCCGGTCTTCCTCGCTTTGCTGTCGTGGGCCGCCGTACTGGCGTTTCTGTTGCTGTGGCGTATCAGCTTGGACCGCACGCTGTTAAGCAGCTGATGCCTCTCGTCGGAAAACTGTCTGTGCCTCAGGCCCTGGGGGGCCGTCGGCCTCCTCGAGCACGTGACGAGGGAGAGAATGTATTTGAGGTGATACTGCCTCAGCGTGAACAGTCCGTACAGGAAGGGGTTGAGTGTGCTGTGCACCATCACCATGAACTCCCCCAGCACCTTGATTGTCTCGAGCGCCACCTCGTAGTCGCTGTAGATCCGCACGAGAGTGCTCAGAAAATAAGGCGTGTGACAGACGAGGAAACTTATCACCACACTCAGCGTCATGATGATCGCGCGCCGTTTCGAAGCCGTCACCAGGCTCCGCCTGACGCTCATCCTCGGAGATCCCAGATTGAGGTCGTCGCCCGGGTCGGACGCGTTCGCCTTCTTGTCCTCGGGATTATCGTTGGTGTCTTTCTTCTCCTTAACGTTCCGCGCCCAGCTCACGATGGGTATCGAGACCGAGTCCCTCTTCCCCTTCTCGCCGCAGTCGCACCCGCATCGGACGCCCCCTTTCTCGCCACTTTCCGAAAAGTTCTTGGGCGGAGTTGTCGGCGGTCCGGAGGTCGTCACCGGGGGTTTCGGTGGCACGAGGCACGGCGGCTGTCGGCGGTATTCGTTTTTCGCCCTGATCCAGACGACGCGTATGATCTTGACGTAGCAGTACAACATGATGACCATGGGCACGATCAGGATGTACAGGGTGGTGAATGTGAAGTAGACCTTCCTCTGCCAGGGGTGCGTGTAGCCCTTGCTGCCGCAGATGCGGCGCGGGGTGCCGTCGAACTTGACGCCTTCGTTGTACTGGACGAAGATGAAGAGCTGCGGGATGGGGAAGATGAGGCTGATGGCCCAGGAGATGGCGATCTTTAACCAGATGCGGGGTCTCTTGGCCAGGGACTGCATGGGCTTCACGATGACCTGTCGGGAGGAAATACAAAGAGTTAAAAAAAAATTAAGGGTTTTGGATAAGTTAGAAAACAATTTTTTTTTTGGGGTAGGGGGCACCTTTTGAATACGATGATAAAGTTTAGCGAGAATGAAGTCTAACTGTGGGGGTACTTAGTTTAACTGTGGGGGCACTTAGTTGAACTGTGAGTGTACTTAGTCTCACTCACTGTGGGGGTACCTATTATCACGTATGGAAATCCTTAATGTTACATGGTCAAAAATGTTTAATATTGACTAATGGATATGTCTTGTATAAAGACAGCAAATGCATTGGTGACAGCAAAGATAACTTAGACATTGCTTCCATGTTATTTAAAGCTCTGTTCATGAATACTTAATCTGTTCATGAATACTTAGTCTGTTCATGAATACTTAGTCTGTTCATGAATATTTAGTCTGTTCACGCATTTTACCCGGTTCATGAATACACAGTTTATTACAAAACAAAGTGAGACTCATTGATCTATTAATTTTATTTTTAAAACCATTTTGCGAAGAGCACCGAAACATTAGAGACAAAGCTGGAAGGAGAGGGGAGTGGAGGGGATGTCTGGAGGGGGGCGGGAGGGGGCGCCCAACAACAGGGATTAATACATTTTGGCAGACGAGTATGACAAATTGCTGAAGAATTTCGACCATTTCCTCCCTACTCAAATCGATACAATACCAACGCCGATGGGACTTGAAGTAATCATGAATACATTAATAGGGCCGAGTAATAGACTGCGTTTTTTTTTTTGGTATCTGTTTGCGAAGTTATCTCTAAGAGTACTCGATCTTTTCTTTTATTCGTAATCTGCTGTCGCCAAAGTAGTAGCTGTCAAGTCATTCACTGTATTCATATAAGCACTATATATACGCATTCATAATCGGCTCTGTGGCCTACACATACATAATGGGCTTTCCGGTGAACAAAGGCATTCTGGATGTAAACTACATGCTTGGATGGCTTATATTCCCATCTCGGATACAAATTATGATAAAGAATGGATTATCGTTATGGAAAATTACTTTTTTTTTTCCCAGCAGGTATTTTGCATTTAATAGTGCGTTGGTAATCGGGAGTCCAATAAACTGCTCACTAAGGCGCGACGTGCATCGATTACATGGTGATTAAATAATCTATTAGGATTCTGTTTTCAGCGTCAATGTGAGAATCACTGAGATAAAATGTACTTAGTTTCATTTGAGAAATTTTTGTATAGGGTTTGTTGCTAAAAAAAAAAAGAGGTATTGCATAACTGTTGATCCATTACAATCACAACCAAATACTTGACATCTTATTACATAGAAAATATCTTCTATATGACCACTTCAAAAAAAAAAAGATATCACATCAGACCACACGGAAAAGATATTACATCTGATCACACACAGAAAATCTATCACATCTGACCACACAGAAAAGATATTACATATCACCAAATAGAGTGGATCCCACATTAGACCATATAGAAAAGATATCAAAATTAAGCCCGTAGAAAGATATTACATCTGACCAAATAGAAAAGAACTGGCATTTGACAGCATAGAAAAAGTGTTGCATTTGACCACATAGAAGTGATCTTACCTATGATAACTTAAAAAAATACTACATCTGATCCCCCAAAAAAGATCTTACATCTGACCTCATAGAAAAGATCTTACATTTTACCACATAGAAAAGATCTTACATCTGACTCATAGAAAAGATCTTATATTTGACATCATAGAAAAGATCTTACACCTGACCTCATAGAAAATCTTATATTTGATCTCATAGAAAAGAGCTTCTATCTTATGGGTTCGAAAAGATCTCACACCTGATCCCATAGAAAAGATCTCAATATGACCCACATAGAAAAGATCTTACATCTGATCCCAGGGGAAAGATCTTACATCTTGCGAAATGCCAGAGAGATCATTCGTCCAGGAGCAGGTTTTTTTTTCTTCATATTTTTTGTTTTTTGTTTTGATAAAAATATAAAACGATTTGCGTAGCTCATAGGATTTTGAGGACCTCTGAATTATATATCTGCAATGTCATTTGGGCTCATTGAGAGAAGATAAGGAGACAAGCGGGATTAATTTGCTGTGCTATTTCCATTGCAATGTAGGAGGCCGTAACCCCCTCTGCCCATGCCCTTGAAGTCCCAGACCTTGACCTAATTTCCACTTCTACCCCCGCGCCCACTCATCCCCAGCCGTTCACACCCCCCTCTTTCAATTTTTTGCGTCCCTAAGCTGTTTTGTTCCAGTTGAATGTTAAATCCAGTTAATTAGCTTCCATCTCCCCACTGTCCCATCGTCCCACTTATGTCTGTACTGTCAGCCTAATGAATCTACGTTATCATCAATTAACCAAACACAGGACAAATGAGAGCTCCTCACTCGACACCCCCCCTCCCCGGGCCTCAATCCTTTTCGCCCACTAGAAGTTTGTGTGATGACAGACAGAGAGCATCACTTAATTAGACGTTATGCCAAGTAAGTAAACAATTACACACATATCGACCTCAATCAGAACACTATGTCAAGTAATTAAACAATCACACACATATCGAACTCAATTAAAACTTATGTCAAATAATTAAACAATCACACACATATCGAACTCAATTAAATCTTATGTCAAGTATTTAAACAATCGCACACATATCGAACTCAATTAAAACTTATGTCAAGTAATTAAACAATCACACACATATCGACGTCAATCAGAAAACTAAGTCAAGTAATTTTAAAACCACAAAGAATACCAAACCAAAACTCCTCCATGAACTAAACCCATTTATAAAACATTGTGTTTTTACGCATTGTCCAAGCAACGGAAAAATTTAAAACAACAACAACAAAACACCAACTTAGTCACCGCACCGTGGCGCCACTCATGTCTAACTAGCAGTTGATCATAATAAAGATGTAAATGATAAAGTTTCAATAAATATTTTCGAAAGTATATTTATCTAAGATACAGTTTTTTTTTTCGGGAACTCGAAGTTGCTAAGTTTCTAGGTTTCGAATAATTTCATAATAACGTGAGCAGTGTTATTGTAATAGAGTTCCCGTGTCTGATCAACGATGGCACAATGTAAATATTAATGTAAATAGTAGAGATGATAACGAATAACGTTCAGACTATTTATTTAACAATCTAGCCGTAATGTTACATCATTTCTTTTTCTTCTAAAAAGACATTGAAGCCAAGGTCTTCGGGTGACAAAACAAACCCATGAATTTGGTCGTGAAAATAAATAAAGCAAAGATATATTTGTACAGTGGCGACCATTAATTGAACCCTCGATTCGTCCTCGATCCCAGTTTCCAGTCAGCCCCGCGGATTAAATCCTCAGGCGATCCTTGTCAGTCGAGTAACTCTCTCGGGGGTGGTTGTTGGCTGATCAACCTTAGTTTTACGATGGCCGGGAAAGGGGGGGGGGGGGGGGGGGGGGGGGGGAGGGAGAGAGAGAGCGAAAACCGAATCTCATGTTGGTATAGAGGATCTTTGTCACCGTTGTTCATTGACCCGTTATCGTCACACTGATGAAAGCTGAACTGGCCAACAAACAAAAATACATATTTCACGAAATGAATTACTGAATTTACGATGACATCCCCTGTTATGTAGGACGTGTTTACGTCACACTTTTCCCGTGCGGTGAACTCATAATGACCCCCAAATTAGAATGCGTTCGTATTGGGGGTGGCATACTTCTTTTGATCTTTTTTTTTACCACAGAAAAATCTATCGCCTGTTTGTCTTGACTCGAATGTAGTACAAAATTGTAGTAAATTATAGAAATTTGTAAAAGTTTCGGGTCATGACTACAATGTATATTCTGCCCCCCCTCCCCCCCCCCCGAATCTTCTTAGAAACAGGCGATAACCATATATAAAGCCGGGGAATTGAAAGACGAGATGGATTGATAGATCGATATTTTTCACTTCACGCGACAAGTGTATTATTGTGTACTCATATGTGTTTATTCGCATTCATCATTGTACTTTATAAATTGGCACACTGTACTAACTGTGTACCGGTACAAGACTTCTCATACTCTGTAAGTTGATGACTGTAATTATATTTCTTTTGTTTTGTAATTATATTAATACTTAAATAAATCTTATTAATTGTAATTACTACTGTTTTGAGTGTCATATTTTTGCTATTATATTTCCCTATGGCATCGTCCTTTGTTAAGCACTGTTTAGAACGAGCCAAAAACTTTAACTAAGAGATTAATTTCTCACAATAGATGGCAATACGTAACATCTACCTCCCACCAAAAAAAAAAAAAAAGAAAATTTTTTAAATAAATAAAATTTGAAATTTCTTCATGTGGGTAGAACGAGCCAAAAACTTTAACTAAGAGATTAATTTCTCACAATAGATGGCAATACGTAACATCTACCTCCCACCAAAAAAAAAAAAAAAAGAAAATTTTTTAAATAAATAAAATTTGAAATTTCTTCATGTGGGGTACTGGCGGACGCGTCACTAGGGTTGGAGTCGACCGGTGCGGTAAGCTCATGGTGTCATCCGCTCCAGACTTCCCCCTTGTTCTACAAAGTGTTCCCTGACTAAACGAGGGGGAAGCGATCACCCGAATGATTCTAAGTGTTACAATGATTCAAGCCACATCTTTGGTAGGTAAAGCAGCTGAAAAAACCAAACAGCCTCCAGAGTAAAATACACAATGTAGTTAAGGAAAGGTTCTCAAAATTATGCCAGAGCTCACGAATGCTTTTCTAATAAAAAAATTAAATTAACTTAAAATATATTTAAAGAACAACTAATCCGACTCCTTCTGTTTTAAAGGAAATATCGATTGATGCTAGCAACTCCAAGTTAACGACTCATTTCTTCAAGTAACTGACTCATAACTCCAAGTAACTGACTCATACCTCCAAGTAACTGACTCAAAACTCCAAGTAACTTACTTAAACCACCAAGTAACTGACTTAAACCTCCAAGTAACTGACTCAAACCTCCAAGTAACTGACTCAAACCTCCAAGTAACTGACTTAAACCACCAAGTAACTGACTTTAACCTCCAAGTAACTGACTCAGACCTCCAAGTAACTGACTCAGACCTCCAAGTAACTGACTCATATCTCTCAATTCAAGGAATGTAATTCGATTGAGAGCTGAGTTTCGAAGAGTATACAAGTTATCTCTCTGGCAATGTCAAAAATACGTAGGTGCCAAATCAGCTGTTCGTAATTTTTTTTTTTTTTTTTATGGAAGGATGCGTCATTTTTACCTTGGATGGCAACTCATCCTAGAGAAAACACACTTTGAAATGAAACCCTGAGATGGAGTAACGTCAGCGGTATGACACAATTAAAATTCCGACAACCCCTGTGACGTGTAACGCATAAAGAGCACAGTGAGACGCTATGCCTCACCTTAAACAAAATGCAGCTCCAGTCATATCTACTAGTCAAGTCGAAAATGGCCTCGGTCATCTTCACAGTGTAGGATGAATAATAATGTTGTTGTTTTTTTGTGGTTTTTTAGATATTATATAATCGGCTCTATTACAAGAAATGATAAGAAAGCATTGTAAGAAACTGACAAGAGAGTCAGGCTGACACCGCACACCTCATCACCATTAGCCATTAGTCGACCAGCCGCGAATGTGCTCCAGCGACCCCCACCAGCATCCTGACGCCCAACTTTGAGATCCGTTGCCTATCTCACGTTTCTCTGAATGAGTGTTGACTGTAGAGAGATTTAGGTCATTCAAGTGAACGAAACACACCGCGAGTGAGTTGGATTACCACAAGTTAACTGCCGGGATCTCTTGATTTGCTGGTTTAAACCAGATCACGTCTGCGTCTGATGACTTTCTGTTTTTGAAATGACGAGAAAAGTACGCAACCGAGATTTAATGAAAACACATTTTCTTTTTACCCAAAAACACTTTTTTTTTTAAAAACGAAAAAAATAAAAGGAAATGTGAGACCCCATAGGGTAGGAGATGTGAGTACTATAAACTTAGGCTGGGGATCTGGGAAAAGCTGGTAAGGCAAGCGGACGACGACAGTGTTTGGCTTTTCTGTTACTGGTGATGTCTGTAAACTTTTTCTACATCACACTTTAGGATTTCTACTTTTATTGTTTCCGAACTGTATGTTACGTACTGTTATCCATATGGAGAAATTAATTTCTCATTTAATTTTTTGGCTCTTGCTAAAACGGTACACAACAAAAGACGATACCATATGCTAAAGACGAAACCATATGTTACATACAATAAATACGAAAACGATACCCAAACTAGGGCTAATTGAAATTAATAAATTTTATTAAGTTAATAATGAATTACAAAATCACTAATCAAAATGAAATTAAAGCTATTGACTTACAGTATAATGATTGACTTGTACTTGTACAATGATGAAGAAGATACAATGTTTTAATAGGTACAATGATGAAAAGGGAACTTCCACACACATCAACTGTTAGTAAACAAATCTCCGTCTCGCATAGAAAATTTCTATCGTAATGGTGCTCCCCCACCCCCCCCTACACCAAATATCTATCTCTTCCTTTTATAGTCTGAGTTAATAATATTTCTAGAAAGGGCTTACACATTTCTTCCCTTTCATGATTTGTCTAGATTTTCTACATAATTCTAATACTGCAGACTACAGATTTTTATTTTGTTGTAAAAAAAAGGTCAAAGAGACAATTTTTATTTAGCCTTACCCTAAAATGCGGTTCGTAGCTTAATTTATTCTAGTTAGACATAATTGAACGTGATCTGGAAAGTGACCCCAGTACGACTCACGCGCAGGGAGCGTGACGCACCGTCATATCCCACACATCCATACCACATTTTCTATTGCCTACAGCAGGCCCGCACAACTCAACATGCAAGGTGGGCCGTAATACCTTATGAAAGCTTGTGTGAGCCAAAAGAAAATAGGACAGAACTTGTGGGGGCCAAAAGAAAAAAGGACAGAACTTGTGCGGGCCAAAAGAAAATAGGACAGAACTTGTGCGGGCCAAAAGAAAATAGGACAAAGGGAAAACCTATATCGAAAATAATAAGAATCAAGAATATTTCGTAACTTCGCGGGTCGCAAAGTGGCTGCTGGCGTGCCGAATGTGGCCCGCGGGCCGTACGTTGTGCAGGCCTTGCCTACAGAACAGCATGTAGCCATGTAAAATGATTTCGTAAATGCACGTCCACAAAAAATGTCTTTGGCAGAATTTGTCAATAGTTTTGTCTTCCATCCTAAACGAAGCCATGAATTAATATTATGGCGGTATGGTGGTACTGGTCTCCAAGTTATCTCCTCTAGTGTGGTGGTACTGGTCTCCAAGTTATCTCCTCTAGTATGGTGGTACTGTTCTCCAAGTTATCTCCTCTAGTATGGTGGTACTGGTCTCCAAGTTATCTCCTCTAGCAGGCTTGAAACTTTCACTTTTTAAAAAAATGATTTTGGCAATTGCTCCACATTTTGATTGCAAGCTTAATGTTGTTGATTTTTTTTTAAATCACGCCTTGACACTGTATTTTTAAGCATTGCTGTTCTGATATACGTCACTGTCTTTATGGCTCGATTATTAATGTGAATCAAACGATTAGGATCGTTATAAATATTTATATCATGTTATTTTCATAAAAATGTGCACGTCTGCACTTAAGTTTAAAAAAAAAAAAAATTCTTCATTGTTCATAACTATTTGAAGATAAGAGGTGAGAGAAGCAAAGACTAGGGTCAGGGAAGGCTACGAGCGGGAGGTAACCCTTGGTCGCTATGATAACTGAGTTAACAAGGTGAGTATCCATCAATTCATTTAGTTATTACCACGTATCTGTGTCATAGTGACGACCTTCTAGAACCGACTGCCCGGCACGGGATGCCAGTAGGGTAATCGGAATTTCCCCTTTTCTGATGCAAAAAAAAAAAAAAAAAAAAAAAAATGGCATGCGTGTTCCGTACCGTTAGATTTTTTAAAAAATAATTTTGTGGTAAATTAAATCAGTTTTAAGATTTTGCTAATTTTTTTGTAACAATACGTATGAAATGACTGAGAGCCAATATACAAAGAAAAATGATACGATAGCTAGTGATACTAACAATATTCAATTTAAATTAACTATTAGATTTATATAATAATACTAAATGAAATATCCAGAAATAAAATCCATGTTAACTTACAGTACAGCAAGTGAAAAGGTGTAAGCCTCGAAAGATACAAAATATTAAAATATACACATACAAGAAGGCTACAATCTTGTAAAGCCTCTTTACTGTGTCTCGTAGGTGTCTAGGAAAATTATTTTAAAAATCTCTCTTCCAGACTGTAAATCTGTCAGCTTATTTGCAAAGTGAAGAAATTCAAGAAATTGTTTCATGCGATATCATTCCTTAGAACAAATAGAACGTGCACAACCTTTTCCCAGTGGAGGGAGAGGTGGGGTGGCTACTGCGTTATACATTCAATCGGTGACGTCGATATTAAAACAAAAATTAAGGGGGAGACAAAACAAAAGAATATATTTTTAAAATGTAAAAAAAATGGAAGCTAATCTCAAAAGAATTATTTCTAAAATACCTAAACAAAAAAATATGTAGATCAAATTTAAAAAAAAAATAAATAATATCTCATTAAACAAAAATTATACCTGAAATCGGAATAGCTGCTTTTCTCCTGGTCACCTGACATGACCCTTGCGATACACATGGTGTTATATCAGACTGGTAAAAAATTGTAATGCCTTTTAATTTAATAAATTAATGCCAATAAGGGGGCAATATTTTTGTTATAAAAAAATGCTCCAATTTCAAATCTACTCTTGATGGAATTGATAGAAAAATTATTTTAAAAGTTATTTTTTCAGTGGGCGGGGTTTCACGTGTAGGGTAATCATCGAATGATTGAAAGCTGGTGCTCTTAGCTAATAACATATCATATATCATATAACAAATGGTTTTTGTAACTTTTTATACCTTTTTCGTCTTTTTATTCTTTCTAATGTTCTCTTTCTCTCTCTCTCTCTCTCTCTCTCTCTCTCTTTCTATCTCTCTCCCTCTCTCTGTCTGTCTGTCTCTACTCTCTTTCTCTCCCCCCTGCCTGACACCATTCTGACACGATCAGTTCAATACAATAACATATGATCAAACGCTTTCTTTATGAGTTTGATTTTCATCCGCATAAAGGCAACTTTCCTTATACCATCTGATCAGTCTGAAACATTTTTTTTTTAAAATTCTATGTACAAACAGAAAGCGAGCTGGTCACCAATTCTTAAGATTTATCACGTGACTTCTTCGCACAGCTCCAAAACATAAATGTGTATTTATCCATAAACCTTGAAATAAAATCCATAAAAATTTATCCGAGAAAGCTTACACTGGTTTGTGGTCTGATAATTGTAAGAAGAAATAACGGGGAGTCGGGGGGAGGGGGGGGACGCGTTCTATGACGTAATGAAGCCATAATGAAACGGAAACTCCAATTACACAGAAAATCTCGTCTTGCAGGAAAGGGCGCCATAAAAACATTGTTTCTTCATTATGGGGGGTCCGGTTTTTTAAAAATACTTTTTTTTTTTTACGACGGTGAAAATCGCAAACAATTTGGCGTAAAGATTAGCCACGCCGAGTATCATAATGTGACGTAATGAAGGACACCGACAGCTTCAGATGATAAATTTTCTTTACCAGCCTTCCGGAAAATGAGCGAATCCCTTGAGGGAAATCTGTTTAAATTTCTGACCACGGACACAAGTGGTAGGACTTTATATTGAACATTGAATTACATTTTGGGCCACAATGCTGAACTAATTATTCACACAAATATACAAATCAACGGTATACAAATTAGGTTCATATCTTTGTGTGTGTGTGTGTATGTATACTTTGACAGTGAGCTTTATATCTATTAACAATGTCAAATATTTGTGTGTGTGTGTGTGTGTGTATACTTTGACAGTGAGCTTTATATCTATAAACAATGTCACATATCCACACGTCCTTGGAACTTGCCCCGTGTTGGGAATATGCTGGATTGTTGGCGGTCGGGTTGTAACAAGCTCCGTTTTTACTGGTCAAACGAATGGTTTAGTCCGGCACAAGCTGGGCGAGTTCATTTCCTAGAGAATAGGATGCATTTCGCAAATATTTTTCACTAACTGTATCTTACATCTGTGTATGCTACGCCCCGTATTCCAATTAAACAAATATGGATCAGTCCATTGACCCGTGCCCAGAGGATATCGGATGTAAGCAGAGATGTGTTGATGTAGAGGAGAGAGAAAGAGAGAGAGAAAACAACGTCAATTTTGTTTATTGAGCTCTCTTTGGTCTATTCTCCCGGTAACTGACCCCCCCCCACACACACACCCCTTTTATAGCTCCTCCTTAAGCCATAAAATATTTCACAAATATACATTTTATTTTCATTTTTTCATGTGTGGTTTTAAGTTCTTCTGGGTGTCATAAGTGCCATACTGGCTTTATCTTTGTCTGCGACCATTATTACTTTATGTACGGTAATAATTATTATTATTTTTTCTTTCATGTTATCATTAGAGACATAACGTTTTTTTTAAATGTATATTTCACAAATGTATCTTTGTTACGTAACGGGTTGACAGTTTGAGAGCCAACCATTATTACAAGATATTGCTTACCTTTCATTTTCTGATTCTTGCTTTCTGATGTTCTTTGTTTTGTTTGTCTTTTAAATTTTGTATTATTTCTCTCATGTTGCGTTGCTCTTCTCTTTGCTCCTCATCTCTACCGTAGTCTCTTTTTCTTTCATTCTCTCATTCTCCCATTCCCTCATTCTCTCATTCTTCCATTCTCTCATTCTCCCACTCTCTTATTCTCTCATTCTCTCATTATTTCATTCTCTCATTCTCCCATTCTCTCATTCTCCTATTCTCTCATTCTAGCATTCCCTCATTTTCTCATTTTCCCTTTCCCTCATTCTCTCATTCTCTCATTCTCCCATTCTCTCATTCTCCCATTCTCTTATTCTCTCATTTTCTCATTATCTCATTATCTCATTATCTCATTCTCTCATTCTCTTATTCTCTCATCCTCCCATTCTCTCATTCTCTTATTCTCCTATTCTCTCATTCTCTCATTCTCTCATTCTCATATTCTCTCATTCTCTCATTCTCTCATTCTCTCATTCTCTCATCCTCCCATTCTCTCATTCTCTCATTTTCTCATTCTATCATTCTCTCATTCTCCCATTCTCTCATTCTCTCATTCTCTCATCCTCCCATTCTCTCATTCTCTCAATCTCCCATTCTCCCATTCTTTCATTCTCTCATTCTCCCATTTTCTCATTCTGTCATCTTCCCATTCTCTCATTCTCTCATTCTCTCATTCTCCTATTCTTTCATTCTCTCATTTTATCATTATCTCATTCTCTCATTCTCCCATTCTCTCATTCTCTCATTCTCTCATTCTCTCATCCTCCCATTCTCTCATTCTTCCATTCTCTCATTCTCTCATTTTCTCATTCTCTCATTCTCACACTCTCTCATCCTCCCATTCTCTCATTCTCTCATTATCTCATTCTCTCATTCTCTCATTCTCCTATTCTCTCATCCTCTCATTCCCTGATTCTCCAATTTTCTCATTCTCTCATCCTCCCATTCTCTCATTCTCTCATTCTCCCATTTTCTCATTCTGTCATCTTCCCATTCTCTCATTCTCTCATTCTCTCATTCTCTCATTCTCCTATTCTTTCATTCTCTCGTTTTATCATTATCTCATTCTCTCATTCTCCCATTCTCTCATTCTATCATTCTCTCATCCTCCCAATCTCTCATTCTCTCATTCTCTCACTCTCCCATTCTCTCATTCTCTCATTCTCTCATCCTGCCATTCTCTCATTCTCTCATTCTCCCATTCTCCCATTCTCTCATTCTCTCATTTTCTCATTCTCTCATTCTCTCATCCTCCCATTCTCTCATTCTCTCATTCTCCCATTCTCTCATTCTCCAATTCTCTCATTCTCTCATTTTCTCATTCTCTCATTCTCTCATTCTCCTATTCTGTCATTCTCCCATTCTCTCATTCTCTCATCCTCCCATTCTCTCATTCTCTCATTCTCATCCCCCACACACTTTGTGTTTTCTTTGTTTTCAATAAAGCTGATGATTTGGAAGGCGGAAGTTGATTAATTAAAGACCCGTAAAATATGCCCCCGGAATGACGCAGTGAATAAATCAGCGTTGCCAGCTTGATGAATGTTGCCTGGCAACAGGGGAGGTAATCATCATTAGCCATATCACTTTATTGTGTTATCCTACGACTGTTGCTTGCAACATGTTTCAAACGACGCGAGGGTTGGCTCGGCCAGAGCGGAACTGGACATCGGACAATGCATAAAATATAACAAGCTGTAAATCAATCCGAATACGAGCTCAGCAATATTTGATACTAATCGTATCAATAAAAATGATATTGATTGGAAAGGAAATACGTTTGAAATAACACACTGCCAGAAATAGGCATAGAGAGATAGAGACATGGAGAGACAGAGACATGGAGAGATAGAGACATAGAGAGATAGAGACATAGAGAGATAAAGACATGGAGAGATAGAGACATAGAGAGATAGAGACATGGAGAGACAGAGACATATCTTATCTTATCCTATCATCTTAACTTATCTTATGTTTTCTTAACTTATTGTTAAGATTTTAACGCTAAAAATACAATGCTCACATGCTCATACGACTTTCGATTGGTTTAAACGTACCGCTTCGATAAAATTAAGTGTGTGCCATCTCAATGCTAACCACGGCAATATACAAATGCTATGACTGCACTCTCGAATGTTGTAAAGTTGACATTAAGTCTAGCACATTTCACCTATTTTCTAGACGCACTCCTTTTCAGATTGCCCCGGGAACCCCCCCCCCACATGCACGCTCCCACCTCTCCTTCTGTCCACCCGTGTTGCCTGATTTCCTTGTTTGAGTGAAGGATTGCACCTGCTGGTCCCGTGGGACACTCTGAGATTCACTAGTTTTTAACGCCTTGTGCGGCTGTGATTTGCATGCATTTCTAAATCTTAACTATGTGTACATCCAGTGGTGTAGCTTTAATTTTATTTTTTAAAGGTAGTTTTATGTTACATTATGTCTGTCTTGAGATCGGTATCATTTTTTCTTAATGGGGTACGTCCAAATCTGTTCTAAAAGAGAGTAGCCTGCCCGTGAGGGCAGAATATTTTTTTTTTTTTTTCAGCTTGGGAATTTGGAACCAATTTTAGTTCCAAACATTATATACATAATGTAATTTGTTTAGTTGTATATTTATTAATTGTTAGCTTTCAATCTGAGATCTGTCTTTCTTTTAAATTTCCGGTATCGTCATCCAATCCATATTTAAATAACGGATCATGGAATGGACCAATGATATGAAAGTGAAAACAATCGATTTGCTCTTTTCTCCTTGATAATAAAAATATATTTTTTTTGAAACTGTCGTACCCCAGTTCTCTGTGTGATTTCAGAAGAAAAAAAATTACATTAATATTGAATCACAACAAACTGCTCAACGCCAAATTGAACACCTAAATACCGCACCACAAAATATTCATTTTACTTTAAAGTTATATATTAATGTACAATAAGTCAGTTCTTTCATTTGGTTTCATTTGCTTTCGAACAAAGAAACTCAAAGGCATTATTATTTTTTTTTCGCTGTACAGCAGTCCAAGGTCTCTACGGCTGCCGTGTTCTAGTATATAAGGTGCTAATTAAGGCTTTAATCCAGCAACATTAACAGGTCCACCCATCCGGTGCTGATGACAGAGTGACGGACAAGATGTGCACATCTTATCTCGGCTTTCACCTCTTGGGGCAGGGGGGTGGGGGGCGGGGTGGCACGGGGGGGGGGTCGAAATTGCAGCGCCCAAGAAAAAAAATGAAGAAAAAAGATTTTTCTTCAAACAAATTGGCCGCGCTATTGGATAATCCATTTCATATCCGTTTCTTTTCTCGCGTGAAAATAAGGGGAGACAACCAGATATGGGAGTATATGGCTCAGTACACATGCAGAGAAGAACGGGGACAGACGAGACGATACGATCTAACGAGTATAACAAAACGGCAGAGGGATAATGCCAGACAGAGAGTTATAGAAACATAAAAGGCTTATGAAGATTCAGAGAGAAAAGAGATACGAATTCAATTAGGTGAATGGGGTTCGGGGGAAAAAAAAAGGGGGGGGGGAAAGAAGAAACCCAGAAATAATGGGCAGATAATCGCTGGGCTCAATAGATAGACAGGTGACAAGAGTTATGGAAAACGTAACAATGCCATAGCTTCTATTACTGGTAATAAATACACAAGAAGCACATTGTGGACAAAATTGTCTCAAATCGAAAAAAAAAATAATATTAATATTTGTTTGATATAGAAATATATGGAAAAAGATGATAACAGTATAGAATCACGGGCTAAAGGTCTGAATATTAAAAACGAGAAAAAAGTCCTGCCCCCGTCCCTTAGTGGAGGTCTTTTATTAAAGTATGTACATAATAAAAAAAAGAAATATGGAAAAATGATGGTTTCCTACTCAAAGTTTGTCATACGGCAGTGGGGTGCCGTCTGCTTCAAATATCACATGAGTAGGACCAAGTCTCACCAGTACGCATTATCACCCTGTCACCAGAGCCCCCACCCCCTCAGACTCCCCGGGTGCGGCTCCACTTGGCCCCGTCCATCACTGTTCACGGTGAATCAGGACTGGCTCCCCCACAAACGAGATGACCGTGATTTCGTTTGGGGTGGGGGGGGGGTCGGACAGTGAAAGGGAACAGCACGGGCTTTGTGCCCGGGAGAAAAGGGGGGAGGGGAGAAATCTCGGAGTAGTGGTAGAGTGAAGTGGACACTAATGGGAGCTGGCGACGTCAGGTTTGGCTCCGTGGACCATAAAATAATGGACAGACTGAGGGAGAAAGGTATAAATGGTGGATGGCGAGTTGAGCGCAAGAAAAAAATGTTTATTAAAATCGCGAGCAGCGATTGTGTGTATGATTGGCTCATATGTTTATTCATACGATGGGACATCTTTATTGAGGAGGGCAAATTTGGGAGAGGGGGGGGGGGAAGAATATGTTTAGGTGATGGATGGGTGTGTAGTTCAATAGTAAATGTTGTTTTTTTTGGTTGTTTTTTTTAAGTACTTGGTAGGTGCGTATTAAGACATACTTAAGATACTCATGAGTCATATTTTAGCGGATACCTACATTTATAGCTTGGTGCAAATCAAGCAATTCTGTGACATAGCAAATTTCATGTAAAGTCCAAAGCTGACCAAGACTATTGTACTAACACATTTTGTTGAGCCTTACGTTTTATTTTTGGACGAACCGGATCATCAGAGTCACCACTGGCTGCCTTTGAAACATCAAAAACTCTTGCTAATAAAGAGACCCATTGTAATAAATTGAAGCACTCACTTGATTTTTTAATGGTTTGCATGTTAGCACCTGTTGATTTTTCAAACTCACCTGGTATCTGTCTATGCTCATCGATGTTAACAGGTTGGTTGTAGAGCTCAGACAGATCATCTGCAATGAAAAAAAAAAAACACACACAAATAATCAAAAAGTCATTAGAGGCGCAGTTTAGGTTGGATTCGCTTTCTTTAAGGGACACAGGCTTATAAAGCAACAACAGCAGTAAGACCCCACTTATGTCACTTCGTTGGCGGAGTAAAAAAAACTGGGGACAGATCATGTTTAGGCTCGAAAAAGAGACGGAAGAATTATAATGACGTTTCAGCTAAATGCATTCTTCGAGTCACTATGTACAGGGGTGGAAGACACAATGTACAAGGGTGGAAGACACAATGGTCAGGGGTGAAATTTGCAATGTACAGGGGCGGAGGACACAATTTACAAGGTGTGGAAGACACAATGTACAGGGGTGGAAGACACAATTTACAGGGGTGGAAGACACAATGTACAGTGGGTGGAAGACACTATGTACAGGGGTGGAAGACACAATGTACAGGTGTGGAAGACACAATGATAAGGGGTGGGAGACACAGTGTACAGGGGGATAGACACAATGTACATGGGTGAAAGTCACAACATACAGGGTTGGAAGACACAATTTACATGTGTGGACGACATAATTTACAGGGGGTGGAAGGCACAATGTACAGGTGAGGAAGTCACAATATACAGTGGTGGAAGACACAATGTAAAGGAATGGGAGACACAATTTACAGCGGCGTAGACACAAAGTACACGGGTGGAAGTCACAATGTACAGGGATGAAATCACAATGTACAGGGGTGGAAGTCACAATGTACAGGGGTGGAAGACACAATGGTCAGGGGTGGAAGACACAATGGTCAAGGGTGGAAGTCGATATGTACAGGGGCAGAAGACACAATGTACAAGGGTTGAAGCCACAGTATACAGACATATTAAGTTTAGTTCAGACTCTGTAGAAAATGACAGGGAATACAGAAATTAAATAAAATGTTCATGCTGAAAATCGTTTTAATAATCGTATAATTATAAAAACTAAGCACCAAAAAAAATGATTAGATCTTTTATTGTTGTACGAATCGCATCCACATTACAATAATGTGCCCGGGTGCATCTGTCCTGATTTTGGACAAAATGGATGGAGGATGAGGGTGTGGCTACTCTGACTGTGACATGCTCCTATACTCTCCTAAAACGTACATGGCGCGAAATTTAAATTTTTAAACAGACACACAAAAAATGTGTCAACTATTCTGATCATACACTGACCTACGTGCAGATCACAACAAGACCATGTACGTGTAACAGTGATTTGCACATCATTTTGTGAACGGACACATCACGGCACATTTTAGGCAATGGACAAACAGGAGCAGAGCTCACAAATGGGGGAGTCCGGTAATGACCTCCAGTGAAGAGCATCTGCATAAACATTACCGATAATCATCCAATGATCCTTCCGCCCTCGTGCTCGTCTTCTCTCGGCCGTCCTAACGTTATGATCGGGCGACCCATTTCTGTATCCCAAGCCGGAGTTCAAGGCCGAATAATCTCGAATTCACATTCGTCTAGTTCCATTTTGTCCAATAAACTAAACGTATAGTTTTTTAATCAGCACGTTTCCACTTCAATTTTTTTTTTTTTTTTTTTGGTTCTTTTTTAAAAATATTTTCTATCTCGTCCCACTTCCGTTTACATGGTTCAGGAAAGCTAATTCAAGATCTTTAATTCACCCGTCTCGAGGCTTCCTTTCTCGGTCAACTCATCTGTTTTTTTTTGTTGTTGTTTTTTTTGTTTTTGTTTTTTTAAGTAAAAAATAATAATAACTTTCAGAAGCTTGTGTTTTGATTGGCTGGTCATCGCTCCTCTAATCGAGAATTTCCTTTCCACAAGGGAAACTATTCATTGGCCGGCGTATCCTTGTCCGCGAAGTCATTAATAATGTCGTCGGTGATAGGGGGGAGGAAACTCTACGAGGGACATATACGTCTTTGGATACTCAAAATGAGAAAATTGTTTTAGTCATGAATTAACATTTGATAAGACTTTAAGCTGGAGAAGACATAAATGGGAAATACAGTGGAACCTCTCATAACGAGTAATTCGCATAAAGAGCACCAAACAAAAAAAATGTGAAGAAGTTGCTCCCTTAACGAGCGATGTTTCGCATAACAAGTTACTGAGAAAGGGGAAGTCCCTTTTTCCTGCAGAGCACTCGGTTAGCGTTTTTTTTTGTTTTTTTTTTTTTTTTTTAAATAGAGCATTTATTTAAAAAAAAAAAGTTGATTCAAGTTTCTTCAAAATTAAAAAAATGTGAACATATATTTCAAAACCACCTTCAAAGTGATAAAAGAAATAATATTAAAATTACAAGATACAATTGGAATGTGTTGAAGGCGTTCGAACTAGCTTCTCTCCGAAAAAAATTCCTTCATTAAAAAATTGTTTTTTAACAAATTGGTATTGAAGAATTTGGTATTGAACAAATTAGTACTGAACAAATTGGTTTTGAACAGACTGGTATTGAAAAAATTGGTTTTGAACAAATTTTTATTGAACAAATTGGGTTCGCACTAGTTTCTGGTAACCGTGCAAAAGGAATAAGACTAGATTTGACATTTTTAGAATGTTCTATTTTTAAAATAAATCTCCCCCCCCCCCCCCCCATGTTAAAGACTTGAATGCATATTGTGATTGCGTGTTGCTTGGAGAGTATTTGGGTAGATGTTGCTATTAAGTGTTTGATATTTTGTGACGTATTGCGCGAAAGGGGACATGACGCATTGTTGTTGTGCAGTGTGGTCTTGTGAGTAAGGGGCAGTTGAGATTTAGTTAATAAAGATTCTTTTTTTTGATATTGATAATCAATGGTTTGTGAAGTGAACATAATTAAACCCCTAGACACAACGAAGCCATCGCCTTTTCCCCCCCCCCCCCCCAAAAAAAAAAATCTCGTTGTTGGCTGATAAATTCTCATTCATAAATTACCAATTCGTTTGCCATTATTAAAAGCAATGAATAGCTGTCCTGTCACTCAGATCGCTTTCAGAACCGTGGGTAATTTTCTTCTAAAATCTTGTACGGTAATCAGACTCATTATAGTTTATACAAAATCCTTGAGATTTTATTTCAACAATTAAAAAAATAGCAAATTTCTGAATCAAGGTTACAATTTTATTATCTTGAGATAATAAAAATATTTTTTTTTTTTAAATCTGATGCGTACATAGTTATTATAATTTTTTTTAAAATTAAAAGACAGTTCTTTTTAATCCAGTCCAATTATTCTTCAGTTGCAGACATCAAAGCTTACCAGTACTTTATTTTCCATTCTTTCACCTAGGCTCGTGAAGCGAAAGTTTTATTCCTGTCACGTCCTCCCGGAGGACAGACCCGGGGCAAACAAATGCTGAGTTCGAGTCATTAGTGGGGCTTAGTGACCGAATCAGCTTAAAAGGAAAAATACCTTTTTAACCACACAAGGACAGCTGTCCTATATTTCATTGCAACATTGGGCTGGACCTTCTTCGGGTACAATTCAAAGGTGTTAACTCATTTTCATAATGATAGTTATCAACGAAAAAAACCGTATTTCTTGAAATAACATTTTACATAAAAAAGATGGGATCAATTCTTACATTTGGCTTCTAACGGCAACATTATGGCAAAACCGCCCGCTTAGTGGTGTAGAAAGGGGTGTTTGGTGGGGGTCGCTTGGTCCCGGGTGGCAATTTTTGTCTTTATTTGGAAGGGGGACATTTTCTAAAAACTGTAGAGTTGTTTTCTTTTTTCCCGTGGAAGGTGGCAAAATATTTGCCGTCCCATGGCGGCACTAACCCTTACGTAGCCACGCCGCTGCCACCGCCCTATTCACACACCAGGTGTCTTGATTTGTTTGGTTCAACTCATTACGTTTCAGTTCTAGATTAGAGATGGTTATCAAGCAGCCCGAGTTCTAGGAACCGCGCGTAGGTCTCAAACAAATCTTTTTTTTTTTTTAAATTGTGTTAGGATTGACCCCAGAGATCAACGATGGTTATAAAGTGATCCCACGAGTCGGTTTGGTCATTTCGAACTGGGCAGATTTACTGCCGGTGAAGTGAGAACCATTAATAAGACTTGCCTCTCGAAGGAAGGGCGAGGGTTTAATCTGTAATCATATTACTTTTGAATTAATATGGCCAGTTGATATATCAGTCGTATACTCAACTGAATGTACAATGGTTTATGTACAACCGGTCGTTGCCTGTTAACCTTTGACACTAACGGGTTGAGATACCAATTTAGAGGCTCTGATAGGCAACGCAATAAGTGTTTCCATCGGATCCTTAGTGATCGCAGCTGATGCCAATGAGGTGAGTCCAATGTGCAAGCGACTTCAAACCGATATATCGCGAAAGGTAATATTTGATTATAAAACAATTTCAAAATGAGGAAGAAGAAGAAGACCTAATTTGTTGAAATTCGTGAAATTAAACATTTAACAATGCCAACTACCGAAGCGATAGAGTGACGTGCTAAACAGTCTATAACTTGCTTTTACTCTACGAACAACAGCACTGAGTGCTGGGACAGAAGCTTGAACAACTACAACAACAACAAAAAACCTCACAGTGCTTTGTACCGTAACACACCTAAGAACATTAAGAGTGATTTGTACAATACATATACCTAAGAAAATTAAGAGTTTTTTTTACAATACATACACCTAAGAACATTAAGAGTGATTTTTATAATACATACACCAAGGAACATTAAGGGTGATTTGTACAATACATACACCTAAGAACTTTAAGGGTGATTTGTACAATACATACACCTAAGAACTTTAAGGGTGATTTGTACAATACATACACCTAAGAACTTTAAGGGTGATTTGTACAATACATACACCTAAGAACTTTAAGGGTGATTTGTACAATACATACACCCAAGAACTTTAAGGGTGATTTGTACAATACATACACCTAAGAACATTAAGAGTGATTTGTACAATACATACACCTAAGAACTTTAAGGGTGATTTGTACAATACATACACCTAAGAACTTTAAGGGTGATTTGTACAATACATATACCTAAGAACTTTAAGGGTGATTTGTACAATACATACACCCAAGAACTTTAAGGGTGATTTGTACAATACATACACCTAAGAACATTAAGAGTGATTTGTACAATACATACACCTAAGAACTTTAAGGGTGATTTGTACAATACATACACCTAAGAACTTTAAGGGTGATTTGTACAATACATATACCTAAGAACTTTAAGGGTGATTTGTACAATACATACACCTAAGAACTTTAAGGGTGATTTGTACAATACATACACCTAAGAACTTTAAGGGTGATTTGTACAATACATACACCTAAAAACTTTAATTGTGATTTATACAGTACATACACCTAAGAACATTAATAGTGATTTGTACCATATGTATACCTAAGAACATTAAGGGTGATTTGTACCAAATGTATACCTAAGAACATTAAGGGTGATTTGTACCATATGTATACCTAAGAACATTAAGGACATAGCGCTAAACGCAAACAATTGTAATATGTTTAAGTCAACGGCTGTTACAGTTAGTTACCTGGACGTAGACGCTGATCTTGCACATCAGGGGGCCCAGCGCCCAGTCGCCGAAGGCTATGAAAAAGATCTCCGTGGAGTTGACAAACAGGGCCACCCCCAGGTCGCCGATGGCCAGGTTGACGAGCAGGATGTTGACCCGCTTGATTCGCCTTGACCTCTTGCACAGCAGGACCAGGATCATGGTCATGTTTCCTATCAGGGTGACTGCAGAGAGGGGGTCGGTGTCATTGTTAGCAAACAGATACGCAGGGAAGGCCTTAATGGCATTTTACAACAAAAACATAATAAAACTGAAATGTCAGTCGTACATGACTTGGTAGTGTCAGGTGATATGTCAGTGTCAGGTGATGTGTCAGTGTGAGGTGACTTTGCGGTGTTAGGTGACAAGGTAGAATTAGGCGATGTGGCAGTGTCATAAGACACGTTTATTGTTAGTTGTCGTGACAGTGTTAAAGGGACATGTCATTGCTGGGTGACATGACAGTTTTACGTGTTAGATAACGAGTCAGTGTTACTTGACGTGGCAGTGTTAGGTGGCGCGGCAGTGTTCGGGTGACATGTCAGTGGCGGGTGGCATGGCAGCTTTAGGTGACACGGCCTTGTTAGGTGATGTGATGGTCTTAGCTGACATGTCAGTGTTAAATGACATATCCGTGTAAGGTGACAGCTTTCAAACAAACACATTAAGCTCAGAGTCCATGTCAATATATTTTGACTGAATTGATTTGACATGCTTTCCTCATGTCATTAAAAATCAAAAGATGCCTACTCGCCTGTCGTTGCATTAATGGCCATACGATGCTTACCCTGAATATTTCACAATAAATGGCTGAAACTTAAAGCTAAATTGAGTTCTAGTGTACTAAGAACCACCAGCCACCCCTTAGTTTAAATACACCCACATATACAAGACAATCATTACCAACCGAAATATATATATATATGAACATTAAAAAATGGTTTTTGAAAAGTTAGACTTTTTTTAAAATTAGGAAAATACAAAAAAGTAATTATCGGCACAATTTTTATACAATAATTACTTCAATGGAGCGAATCTAGATCTCTGATTTTAAAAAGAAAAAAAAAGTTTAATTAAAATTGAAAATGATTTTAAAAAAATTAAACTGAAACCGAATTTTCGAAATGTGATATGAATACCTTATAAATGAGCCAACCAACATCTTTTAATTTATATTCAGGTATTTAATCTTAAAGAAATTGCGGATTCACGCTACACGATCGGCCACGATTTGTGCATCCTTCCCTTCCTTTATTTAGCTGCATTTATTTTGGAAAAGGTAAATTGATGATCTAAAGTAAATTTGATGTGTGCTTTGATAAAACAGCGAACCAATTCTCAGGTGTATAGAAGAAAAATTTTAACCTAGAAAAGAAGTGGCTCGTCATGTCAAAATAACGGATCAACAGTGAAACAGCAAAAAAAAACGAAAAATATCCAGGTAAAGCTTAATGAAAAGTGTTTTAAAATAGGCTTGTTATAATGGAAGACACATTGATACTGAAGGGTAACCTAAGACACTGGGTGAACTGAAAAGATAAATTATTAAAACTATATAATTTTAAATTACCATTAAATCAGTAGAGAACATAACCATATTTTTTTTTTAAAAATCATATGTATCCATTGATATTTCCCACCTAAACCCAATGATGATCCAATTATGTCGCTAAGACTTGTGGCAACAGAAACACGGACAGACAGTCTCAGGAGGATACGACATTCAACTTACATGCCCTCAGGAGGACACGACATTCAACTTACATGCCATGATAACTGCGATGATAATCACCCGGTGCTTGTCGGCTTCGAGCATGACGTAGCCCCTGCTGCTCGTGACGTTACCGTCGTCGTCTGTCACGTTGGAGGACGTCTGCGACGTCACGTACTGGGAGTAGTTGAAGATGGCCGTGGTCGTGACGCCGGAGCCGTCCACGGTCGCCAAGGACTCCATGACGCCGAAGCCCAGGTGATCGCGCACAATCCGGAAAGTAGACTTTTTAGTGCGATTTTTTTATATCACCTGGTGGATTCTTGACCCGTTGAAAGGTGCGCACGAATCTCGACGACCTTCTCATATTTAATCGGCCCTTTCAAAGCACCCGGTTTCCTTTTCAGTCCAATCCATGCACGATAATTTTGGCACAAAAATATTCGTTCGCTTTGTTTAAACCGAGTTAAATTTCTTAATTTCTTATTTTGATTAAATAAAAAAAAATATTAATTTTACACAAATTCCATATCATGAGGGTTTTAATCCTTTTTCTTTTATTTCATCTGAAATTTTGGACACCATCTGAATGTTCGGACACCATGGGATGAAATCCGTGTATTGTAAGGTTAGTGAAAACGCTGGTGGCCGGTTTAACCCATCTCGTTGTTGGGCTTGTTGTACTTGGTGAGATATTTTTAACCAAATCTTTGGAAGTGGGCAACACAACTTGGACCATCCATCACCTCGTGTTACACCAACTTGTAGAGATCCCACCGTTGTGTAGAGGTCATGAAACGTTGTTCATGCCCCAGACAAGAATGGCCGGAAAAGGGTTTGAGCTACCATGGCAACCTCCCATATCCAGATTGTAGCATGGCAACCTCCCATATCCAGATTGTAATCCATATCTTGAAGCCCAACGATCACTTGATACTTGCAGTAAGACCGTATGTTTATTTTTTTTTTAATTACTTTTTTTTTATATTGCCGATCGTTTTGTAAACAAAAATATATTATTAATGAAACCTTTTGTCTTTATCTGTAAAATCTTCTTGTAACTATTTATTATGATTTTGGCATGTGAACTGTAAATATATCATGTTATCATCTACATTGCCTTTCATAGTCAGGTAAATATGTAATTTGTAGACAGGGTGCATTGATTTATTCTACCTATTCACTCCGTCGTTGTGTAAGCTCGTCTTGTACCATCACGATAAAGATATTTCTTCCGTCGTTGTTTTTTTTCTTTTAAACCGATTCATGAAATACAAATTCCATACTTTTCATACGGTCTCATTATCCCGCCCTGTGGCCAACAATAACATCTCAAAGTTGTACTTTTGGGCCAATGTATTCACAACTCTCTCTATTTTGACCTTTTTTTTTCTTCTTTCTTTCTCGCCCTCTTAAATCGTCGCCGTCGTCAGTCGCACGGGTAGATGAGCTGCTTGTAGAAGAGTCTGTAGTACCGGCACTCCATGACTGCTGATTGGGGGGGGGGGGGGAGTCGCTCCTGGGAGAGGGGCTGGGTGGGAATGAAGATAGATGGCACGTTAAATATTGAAGCTCTCCTGGTTATGTCCGCCCCAAAGGTTGATCCGACGTCTCACGTCACCGGCAGACCTGAAAATGATTTGAGTTTTATGAGAAACGAGATAGTACACGTTTGATTAATGACTGAGTATTTCTGGCATCCGATATTTAATTATTTTTTTTTTAATAGCAAAAACAATGTTTTCTAGGACAAGGTTTATTCTTCATGTTTGGGCCACAGTTTAAAAACCAAATAATTCTATTACATAAAAAAAACATTATCTTTGTTTTTAATTTTTTTTTTTTTTTTTTTTTTTTTTTTTTTGTTTTTTTTTGTTCTGTTTTTTGTGCAGTGAAAACCGAATAAAGTTACTGAGAGAAAATTCACTTCCCGGACAGTTTTTACTAAAGGTTCCGCTTCCAGTAGCACAAATTACAATTTTTTTTTTAAAAAAGAGGTGAAAATTTGAACATTTGAAACTACGCTAATTGACAATTACAAAAGAAACTACTGAAATGGTCTCAGGGAAACGACAGGAGATGCTTATTTGAAAATATAGCCGATAGTTAAAACAGAAACAACTGAATCTTTCTGCATTAAAAACTGGCGATGCATCATTAGTTCATTTGTAAACATCTATAGTTTTAACTGAATGAGATATCGGGATCCCGGTGGTGGTCTCTGGTCCTGGGTAGCGCTGGCATAAACCTATTTAAATCTATTGATCAGAAGAGACTGCATTGACAAGGATATTTTCATAACCGGCAATTAGGTAAATATAATTGATAGATTCCAACAAATGGGTCATGTTCCACGTCTTTTATGAAATCTTAGTTTTGTAAATTAAATTTTAAACGGGTAATAGTTTTTTTTTTTAAATATAAAAAATTGAAAGTTTAGCTTAAAATCTCAAGTTGAATCAAAACTAGGAACAATGACGTGGGCCAGTTACATGTTTATCCATCAATGCATAGTCCACATGGAGCAAATGCTTCATTAAAATTCCTGCAACGAGATCTGGCTAAAGAAAAAGTTTATAGTACCGGGGTATATTTTTTTTTTTTGTATAAAGTAATTTCACCAATCGGGAATAAAAACCATCGAAATTTAGGAAGGCATAGAATATATTAGTGGTTAATGTTCGTGATGCTCAGATGATCCAGTGGCCAAGTGTGTAGTGGTGGATCTAGTGGCAATGTGTGTAGTGGTTGGTCTAGTGGCAGTGTGTTTAGTTGTTGATCTAGAAACTGATCAGTTCAGCATCTAATACCGAGGCTCCCTTAGACATTTCTCTCGCTCGCACCATCGCATGCTATCGAAAAAAACCTTTGCGTCAGATGACAAGTACCCCTGTACCACGATTCACGTATCTGCCTTTAAATGAGGATACTTCCTCCCTATTTCATTTTCGCCAACTCTACCTAACAGTTATGTCTATGGCTGAGGCTGTGAAGAGGGAATCCAAATCTTCGGGCCCCTGTTAGATGTTTCTACATGAAGTCATAACACTGAGAACTTATACCGAAGCGAATTTTAGCCGGAGACACGGTATCGCCAATAGAAACAATGAGACCATGGATTGGGGGTTAAAAGGGGGGGGGGTGGATTCATAAAATGAAATGTATTGTTATCCAACTAAATCAAGCAGACAGTTGAAAAATCTATGAAATTGTTATGTTGTTGGTTCAGCCTGCATACTCCGCTCTCTCGTGTGAATAAATACATATTTCCGGATCTCTGACCTCGAGTCCGGGTTAGGAAAGCCCGCGTGGACTGTCCACACGAGAAAGTGGAGATCCCAGGGAGGTCCTGGCGACAAAGGTCGGCGTTTTTTCCCCTCGCTCGGGAAATCTAAACGTACCGGAGATGTCTCTCGACAGGCCGGCAGGAGCGCCCCGCGGTGGACAGTGGCTTTGTAAACGATGTCCTGGCGAGGGTTTCACCAAAGGCAATAAACGTAATGGGAAATAATTGGATTACACGGTCGTGTGGGTATTTTCAGTGGATGTCAAATTATAGGAGCCTTTTTTTAAATACACTTTTCAATATAGTCATCAATGTCATTTCTTAAAGCTATGAGAGCAGACGTGAGGAGATCAGTTGTGGGGGAGGGATGAAAAAAAAAAGAAAAAAATGCCAGGACAAATCTTGCAGGAGGATGTTTCAGATGTAGTTTGTTTATGTCACAAAGATGTTTTATAAATACGCCCCCTTTAAAGACAAGATACATTTCTGATTCTTTAAATCATTAGAATAACGCGGTTGAGATAGAATTCCCCCAGAAAAGAACGGTTATACAATCAAATGGCATAAGGAGACATTTTAATTAAAAAATTAAGCCTCGGCCAGTAAATGAAACAACCGTGTAAATACCCCGATCTCACAAAATTACCAAAGGAAAAAGAAAATAATAATAATGTTTAAAATGTTCACAAAATTTAACTGTTGCTGCAAATTAGGAGTTTCATCTACGCAGCATATCATTGGTAGGTGGTATAGAACAAGAGGCGACAATCTACGGCTTGCGTGCCATATGAGGCAAGCAGAGTGGAACTTCCGGCACGCGTGCCACATGTAGCAAGCAGTGCTATTTTCATTTACGCTCGAAAGACAAAACAATTGTTAAATAATTTTGGTTAAAGACTAAAATAAACATCTTTTAATGTAAACTGATATAAGGCTGCTGGCGCGCTAAATGTACTATAATCCTACTTGGGTACAATATTATTAAACGATTGCTCAACGATGCATAAGGGTCCATTTCACAACAGTACAACTTAGATTTCTTACAGCTTTGACAGAATTACATGGAATATACTCGATACAGCCAAGACACGCTATTTGAAATGTCGGCAATGCAGCTTTACAGCCTGTACGTAAACAGCTTTGAAGTTTTCACTTAGCGTCTAGGCAAAATTGTAGTGTAAGGCTCTTTCGAAATGTACCCACATTTCAGGCATTCATACACAACTGAAACACTACGAGAGTTACATCAATGCAGGACTCTGAGTTCTTGCTCGTGTCATTCCACATCAATCGCTCGAGCTCACTGCCAAGTGGTGCTTAGTTCGGGGGAAAAAACTTACTGTGGCGGCCATTGTAGTTTCTTCGGCTTGACCGGGTTCCAGGCCCCTGGGCACCCAAGCGTGTTAATATTACACTCTACTCACTCGGAGATTGTTGCAAGCCCGATATGGAGACACATAAAATAAGTAATATGAGGTATCGGGATTCATCGCTCTTCATTTTCAGTATCGTAAACTATTGATTCTTTCATGCAGTTGGGAGCTTCGAAACACATAAGGAATTTTTTTTTTAATCTATAATAATAAATTTAGTCAGCCTCGAAACAAACGTACTACAACTCACACAACGCCTACCCCTTGAACGATACGATAGGTCAAATGATCACATTTATGACTGGACGGACAAAAATAGTTATGCTCAGATGACCTATTTAACGCCTGACTGATAAAACCTTGAGCCCTGACCAAAGTATTCATTCAAGGCAAACACTAACCTCAGTTCACACGTTATCTGAACATATTGTTCAGTTCATTAAAAAAAAAATGAGGTGTTTGACTCTTTCGAAGAGGTATGTAAATGGCATATTATATTTCAGAATACTCTCAAATCCTCGAGCCAATCTTGGTAGGTTTTTTTTTTTTTACTAGTATCAGTTGAAAATAAATTGTAAAAAATTGATCTCTCCATTATTTCCGACTCAATTTTTGTAATTCCTTTTCCTTACTAAGGAAAATATTTTACATACACTTCGAGACACATCGAAAAGCCTCATGTAACATCTTTATCAGCCATGACCAAATAACAATGAGCGTCCTCTCACACCACACACACAAACCACACACCACTTAGGGAGACCACAATCCTAGCCCCTGCGTTAATTAAACATTTATTCCTCCCGTCCAGCACAAAGCTGTCTATCACGCGATATACCCCTCACGCCACGGATCGACTACAAACGCCTGCATCCCGATAAACGCGACCTTTTAACAAACATCCTTCCGAGCATCTACCGAGGACAATAGAGGGCTGCGTTAATCCTGCAATTAGGAGCTTGATGAGTGGGGATGGGGGGGGGGGGAAACAATTCCATAATTAGGATGCGTTCGCCATTATCTCAGTCTCCAGCCCAGCTTGAGTCCAGGATGAGGTCAAGTTAGGTCACTGTGACATCATTAGGCCATGCGCGTCTCCGTGATCTACCTTTTAACAAACATCCTTCCGAGCATCTACCGAGGACAATAGAGGGCTGCGTTAATCCTGCAATTAGGAGCTTGATGAGTGGGGATGGGGGGGGGGGAAACAATTCCATAATTAGGATGCGTTCGCCATTATCTCAGTCTCCAGGCCAGCTTGAGTCCAGGATGAGGTCAAGTTAGGTCACTGTGACATCATTAGGACATGAGCGTCTCCGTGATCATGGGCATGTTATCGAATTATTGGACACAATCACGTATCGTCTCTATACCTGATACAATCTTGCATTCAAGGATTTTGTAACTTGACTTTTATATTTTTTAAAATGTCAACGGTGAATAGCGCTCCAGTCAGCACTTGTTCCTAGTGACGAAAAGGAAGATGTGTTGGGAAGTTTTTAGTGAAATTTGGTCTCTCGGCTTAGGAAAAGTTGTTCACAGTTGACCCTCATGTTTGTCCGTACGAAAGCGAGTGTAAAGGACGACCATTTTTGTAAATTGTGTTTCATTTCCCCCCCCCCCCCACATCCCCTAACATTTACGATGGGAACAAAAGCGACGCGGTTGCGTGCGGTGCAAACTACCGTTGTTCTTGTCTTTTGAAAAAACGGGTTTCTTGGTCCTGAAAGTATATGGCTGTATAGATTTTTAATGATATTTCCACGGAACTAACATGAAAAACAAAATTGATGTATGCAGACACAGGCCAATGTATTTGATGGCCGAAATATGAATAAA